TATATACTTTGAGTAAAATTTTCCTTGAAAAGGATGTTTTGGAACGTAGTCTAAAATAATACAGTCCTCGGATTGATTTATGACATCTTAAGATTGTACTTAAGACAGTCTTAAATGTAAAGCGGAGAGCACAGACATAATGCATAACACGTAATGCATAAGAAAATGTACCAATCAAAGTCCTTCGTTTCCTTTCTTCCTATGAAATAAAGAACTTTGATTAATTGGATTTCTTATGTTTTATGTAAGAGTCTGCGCTTCCCGCTTAAGAATCGACTATTAAATCCGACCTGTTTCGCGTCGTAAAGTTGGTATTGAATCTTTCCTTCCATGTGAAAGCAGCTGAATATTGGAGTCCCATGAGGCATATTTGCTGCGTATTGCGTAATCAATCAGAAGTGATCCGCTGCTATGGTTTCGTATCTTAAGGTGCCATCACATGAGGCGTAATCTGGATAAACTGTATATTCTAATAATTTTACGTTTTTTTAATACGTTTTCTTTATTTACTAGAATATGCCATTCTGAGAGCTGGGATTTACATTGGATGTATTTTGGAAGATTAGAGAAAAGCGACCAATTGCTGATTAGAATTTCTGTTGTACACTTTAACAGAAATGCTAAACGAATTTGTAACTTACGTGTACTTTACTCGAAAAGTAGGCTTCATGGGGAACCGGCATTTTTTCCATCGCACATATGAGCAGATGATCGAATGAATAATTAAAATTGGAAAGAATGATCTTGTGTGAGATCACTCTTAAGCAGAAAACACAAACTCTTGCATAACGCATAACAAATAAATAATGTATAAGAAAATGTACCAATCAGAGTCCTTTGTTTCTTTCCTTTCCATGAAATAAAGAACTCTGGTTGGATTTTTTATGCTTTATATATTATGCGTTATGCAAAAGTATGTGATCCTCGCTTTAAGTTTATTCGACATGTTTTCGTGAATAAATGAAAGAATCTAACAAAAAAAACATCGCTCTGCCCTGTGATCCGAAATATTAAGTTGATTATTGAGGTTAGGAAATCTGTTACAGAGGCAAAATGAATATATATGAATATAATTGTACTGTTCTACATGGGTTTAAACTTTTCACGTGATGCAAAAGGGCGCACGATTTCTATAATTGTATTGTTGCAAATTCAAAACTCATGTGCATTTTTTCAAACAGAATAAGCTAAAAGAATAAGCCAAAAATTGGATTCAATTCATGGTGGTTCCATCATGTTTCGACGTAACAACCAAATAGCGTATAAAGCATAAAATAACTAAGCAGAAATTGATGTTCAAGTGAAATGATATGATCGATGCAAGTTACGCTTACGCAAGTTATGCCGCATGTGACGGCATCCTCACTGATTGGTTACGCAATACGTGGCTTCATGGAATTTCAGCATAAGTGTAAAGCACATACTATTGCATAACGCATAACACATAAAGACATAAGAAATTCAACCAATCAAACTTCTTTATTTAATGTAAAGGAAGAAAATGGAGAACTTTGATACATTTTCTTATTCCCTAACAGTACAAACATCGATATGTCGATTGCAAATCGACTTTGGATGTCTAGTACGCTCACAAAGCTTAAATGTGGAATCATTTCGTCCTTGTTATTTAACTGTAGTTAAACAAGGATGAATGCTGTTCATGAGCGTTGTGGGCCATTGTCGGATCACAGCCTAAAATAGTTGACTTAAAATCGGCTTACAGCCGTCTTTAAAGTGGAACATTGTATGACTTATGGCTCTCGCGTACTGGAAACGCTTGCTGCGTGGCCAAATAAGACGCGGTAACCAATGAACATGTTAGGAACTGTAATTTTATTGACTACTGCATCACATTTTCCTGCGCGGTAAACGTTTCCGCGTGTGTTTCTTCAGTGTGCAGGAGCCATTAGAAACGTCTCCAAGTCGTCTAAAGTCAACTTACGGACGTCCATTTTTCAGATGTCTAGAAGTTATAGTCGACTCAGAGTCGACTTAGAATCGACTTTGTACTGTTAGGATTATGCAAGAGTCTGTGCTCTCCACTTAAGCCTAGAACTATAATAAATGTTTTAAGCTTTAAGCCTTAAAAAAATTGATCAATTATAGTCGGATGAAGAATAATTTATTATGAGTTGTCAATATCTTATTAATATAAATAATTTAAGCTTAAGACTTAAAAACTAAAAAAAAATAAATAACTTAAGCTTAAGGCTTAAAAAGGCTCTATTGCAGATCCGGGCTAAGAAACTTCAATTAGTTGAAATTTGTCTTATGAATAAGTTTACATTCCTATTTCCGTTAGATCTAACATTCCGGGTGATCTAAAGCAATATCCTGATTGGTTCATCGGTTTACGTTTAACGTTTCGGCTTAAGTTTACGTTTTATGATTACTATAGAGTTCTAAGGAGATTTGTTCGTGTTGCTCCAATGTGCTCCTGCTATAATTCCTACTGACTTCAACGAGCGCATTAGAGTGAGTAAATGCTATGATAGAAGCATGCGACGCGAACAAACTTCTAGATTTGTAAGACTGGTGTTAAGTGTTTTGATTGGTCAATGTAATCACGTCTTAGCTGCCAATCATGAATTGATTTCTGTGTAATTAGTATTAAAAATGGCTATTTAACGATTGATTAGTGAATTTTATAGTCCACCTTGCAAACGACACCATTTTTAATATTTTTTTAAATACTTTTTTATACTTTTTAATATTTTTATACTATTTAATACAGGATGATATTTCATTTATGCATTTATGCATTTTTATCGTACAAATTTTTCAAGCCTGTCGATTGGTTATAAGATAAAGAGATCCGAGGACTTCTCTGTCCTACACACATTTATTGTATGACAAACACGCACAAATGAAATAGCACCCTAAGTCGGTCGCGCTTCTCTGATAAATCTAGGGCAACGTTTCAAAACTTCCTCTCCGTTTTACTCTATATGCCATACGTTACATGTACTATATATTTCGACTAAAATTTTCCTCAGAGAGGAAATTTTGGAACGTAGCTTAGGACTCTAATGTTTTCTAATGATAATTACATTTACTATAATTACTGCGTTATTATAATTACTGCGGCTATAAATGAGGTTGGAGGAAGTAGTTGGCATTTTTATTTTTTTTTATTTAATATAGGCAGAAAAAGCTACATTAAAATCTGGAGCATATGATGCCTCAATGTTAGTATCGCAGCTAATATGGCGGCAAGATTTTAATCTAGCTAACAATCTAGTAGAAAAACAAGCATCGTGTGCTACAGGATTTATCATCGTTTTTGTTTCTCGAATATGGCGGAATCAATAAAAAAATCATCACTCGATGGCTTAATGCTTAGGAAGCTTTTATATTGGTTACCGTATGCCACAATCTATAAGAACTGATTAATCATCACAGTCACAGAGTATTTCCCTCTCATTTGACTGTAAGGGAATATTCGAAGGTGATTGCTCACTTTTTATAGAATATGGCATATGACAGTAAAGTTACGGCCAATATAAATGCTACCCTAAGCCTTGTATTCATGATGCTAACAATAGGTCTGAGATCTCGGATGAAGAAAGAGTTGATCAGTTGCAATGATCATTTGATCAAATTGTTCAAATATGATTTGTTAATTTTTTCTCTGTCCGTGATCTCGCATTCGATGACTGATTTCTAACATCGTGGACATTCAAGCTAGAGGAACTCTTCAGAAATTGAGTCTAACTTTCTTATGACCACCTGAATTTGACCATCTCTTGAATTTGATCTTTTTTTTTATTTCGTACTTATATCATGTAGTTTAAAGACTAAGGAGATCGAACTTATATGGACTATAACACTAGAAACGTAGGTATTCGCGTTCCACCATTTTTATTCCTTTTCCCATTTCTTGCTCTGTCCCCATTCCATCTGAACTATGACGGGTCATTACAGGTTATGATTTGTACTTGAAATTTTATAACTCTTCATTCCATTTTTGCTTTCAAAATCATTTGAATATCTATCGTAATATTAATGCAGGACCTGAAGAAGTATCTGGCGTTCAAGTATTTCTAGATAAGGTGTCAAATATATATGTCAATTTGAAAAAAAGGATTGAAATTTTTCATCTACAAGGAAGTGTAGTGATATTTATTCACAAGTCATGCATTTATTTTACAGCAATACAAGTTGTGACGAATATTATCCGCAGGAAATTTAAATAATCAAACCTTTTCTGATCTATTGATAGATCTATTGAGTTTATCGCAACGCAACAAGGCATTTTATAAATTTTTTTGCCTTCGTTAATATATAATATTTCAGTTTTTTTATATCTTTCTTTTCGTCTCTCAGTCTTATGGTAAAATTTCGAAGTGCGGAAATACATAAATACAGAGCTACAAGGTTTTCAACAGCTTAGAAGCTATAACTTATAACAATCGTAACGATCCTAACTTTCTCATTTCAGCGGAGTGGGAATAGAGCAAGGAATGGGGAAAGGAGTAAAAATGGCGGATATGCGAATACTCACGTTTATAGTGTCTTAGTTGAACGACAGGAGAATGCTCGATTGTAGTTAGTTGATTCTTACATTCTGATCCGGTTTAAATTCTTGATGGAAACTAAGCCATTATCAGAGTGTGATGTCACAGAATAATGTCTTTATTCTTAGGTTATATGTATTCGGTTGTGTGTGCGTAAGCATATATGAGAGGAGTTTTGCAATTCGAACGCCGCTCACGAGTGCCACCAATTCAGAAACTTGATTTTGATCACACTTTTCAAAGTCTAGTTTGATCCTCTCCTTAATCTTAATTTTCCATGGATTTAGTATAATATCAATAATAGATTTATGATTTTAATTTAGACTTAAATTATAAATCATTCAGAATATATACATATAATATATAAGAATGTAAAATGTTTCATAATTATCAGTGATCAAAAGACTAAATTTAAATCACACACTCATGTAACTCTTTAAATTTATATCTTTGATGTAGACTATTCCATATTAATGTGTTGTAAAAAGTTTACGAAGTAACTTGTTTGAATTGATTGTGAAAATGATTAGAAATGTTGTCGTAGCCATGTCTGGCGGTGTTGATAGCGCCGTGACGGCTTTTCTACTTAAAAACAAAGGTAAGACTAAAGAAAAATTCTAGCTTTATCTCTTTCATTAATATACGTGTAAAGATACACACACACAGATACACACGCGCACGCGCGCATGCACACATACGTGTATATGTATATATATATATATATATATATTTTTTTTTTAAGAATTTAATATTACTGGAATATTTATGAAAAATTGGGATGTTAGAGATGAAATAGAAAAATGCGTGGTTGAAAAAGATTATAACGATGCTCGATGGATCTGTGACAAATTAGAAATTCCTTTGATACAGATCAACTTTGTTAAAGAATATTGGAATGAAGTTTTTAGGTATTTAAAGGTATATTTAAGTGTTCGAATTTTTTGGTAATCACAAATGAGGAGATAGTACATTTTTATCCTAATTTTTCCAGTGATTTGATAGAAAAATATCAGAATGGATATACTCCGAATCCAGATATTTTGTGCAATAAGAACATCAAGTTTGATAAATTTTTTCATTTCGCACGCAATAAGTTTCAAGCAGATGCAATTGCAACAGGTCATTATGCTAAAACAAGTTTCGGACCATACCTAGAGAATTATAAAGCAAACACTAGTAAGTATCTTATATTAAGTAAAATTGATCCATCAATTAAATATATTATTTCATTATGTAATGCTACTATTATAATTCTGTAGAGGTACGCTTGTTACAAGCGCAAGATAGGAATAAAGATCAAACGTTCTTCTTGAGTCAGATACCGCAACAAACTTTGAGACATTGTATGTTTCCTCTTGGAAATTACTTGAAAAGTCATGTAAAGATGATGGCTACACAAACAGGATTGTGCCAAATAGCACGAAAGAAGGAAAGCATGGGTATTTGCTTTGTTGGAAAACGTGAGTTTCAAGATTTTATTTCAAAGGTAAAAGATACACATTTCTCTCCTAATGCCGATTGCTTCCGATAAAATAAAATGACAATAACAATGATTTTGTAACGATTGCAGTACATAGCAGATAAACCTGGTAACTATATAGATCTGGACAGTGGACTGCAGATAGGTAAACACGATGGTATTCACAAACGGACAATAGGGCAAAGATGTAAAATTGCTGGCTGCCTCAAACCTTATTACGTGTTTAACAAAGATCAAGAGTCAAATATTATTATAGTGGTATACGATGGAAAATAAAGATTTTGTTGAAAATAAATTAAGATTTGTTAATGATTTTTTTTTTCTGATGTACATAGGTAGGTGGTACAACTCATTCAGCATTATACACTGACTTTTTAATAACACAGAAAATACATTGGATTAGTGAGGAGCCGTGCGAATTAAGACGGAATAATGGCGTGTTAAGTTGTTACTTTCGCTTTCAACACAGAGATCCATTAATTGCTTGTAGAATATACAAGATATCCAATGATCGTTTATTTATTCGTCTTGATGCACCTTTACGAGCAATTACAAAGGGCCAGGTAATGAATAATATACAGTGCATAAAAAAAATGAAGATGTAAAGTACTTTTGATATTTTGACTCTTTATATACGCAATAACAATTAAATTATCATAAAAATCATAATAGTCATTTACTAACCAAATTTTATTTCGATAAATTAGGTAATAACACCATTCATTTTTCATTATTCACTATTGCTTAATTTTTTACATTAGTTTAGCTGTATCATATATTGACTAATTTGTGTGTGTGTGTTTGTGTGTGTGTGAATATAAAATGTGTGTATATAAATTTCAGTACGCTGTCTTGTACTCTGGAGAGGAATGTCTGGGCAGCTCAATGATAACGTATGCAGGACCATCTTATTTTGCACTTGGGCGGAATTGTATAGATTACACTCGTTGGCATAATTTAATAGCATCTAATAAAGTTTAAACTCTTAAACTTAAATTAAACTTAAATTGTGTATGTATAAATATATATGAATATTTTTAATTAATAAAATTAATGTTTCAGTACAATCGTTTATAAATTTATCCATATATAACATATGTTTATTTTCACATATTTAAGTATTAATTTTCTCTATACACACATTGCAAAGCTACAATATGCATATACTCGCTGCGCAAGTGTACTGTTTATCATCGCACAATGGATCAATCAAACGTACCACACACACACACACACACACACACACACACACACACACACACACACACACACACACACACATATTATTGTATACATATTTTTTTTTGTTTATGCGTATACTTTTACTTTGCGTGACTATACACATTGCAATAATTTCAAATTTTAGACTGTCAACATGTTCCGATAGAAATGCGCTCAAATTTCTATTTAGATGTTTATTCAAATCGTAGTTGGCTATTTTCGATTTTTTCCAAGTGATAGTCATATTTCTCTCAACGTCCTTCAGATTACTAATTTGTAAT